CCAAAAAGACCTACAGCACCAATCAACGGTATTCCTAATGTTAAGATTAAATGCTTTAACAAACGGACAGCTGAGGTGTCCGATGCTATTAAAAATGAAAGTAGAATACATTTACCTATAACAACTCACGATGTCATAATCAACAAATACAAACACCAATTAAATAAAACCGCCACCATTAATCGCGAAGAACTACTTAAAAAAATGCGTAAGCAATTTGTTGAAGACTTTGACATCGACACCTCGGTTGTCTGTTTTGGAAATAATATGTATATTTTAATGTTCGACCTGCTCAACCCTAACGCAAATTCCTCCACAGAGCCCCAAGACCAACTTAGACAAACAATTACTAACATAGAACATTCAATTTAAGACTACTCTACGCCAACATTAACGGACTAAACAACAAAAAACACTTAATTTACAATTTCATTGAACGTAACGACACTGATTGTGGCATCTTTGTTGAAACTAAAACTAAACTGGGACAAACACCAACATACAGGGACTGGCAGTTCATATGTAAACATGGGAATACGATAAACAATGCCAGAGGAGGGGCCACAGTATTACTTAAGCCTATACTAAAATTAGGCAAAGCAAATCCTCCTGCACTTATTAACCCGCTAAATGACTGCCTCCACTTTACTATACCCTACCTTGACGACAAAATCCATATCTTCCTTGTATACAGTCATCCCCACTCAGAAATTGAACAAAATATACTGACCAAAGCTTGCCTTTACAAGTATGCTATACTTATTGGCGACTTAAACATAAACAGAAACAAAAAACTACAACTGAACAGATTTTTGGACAACTCAGACTTTATAAAAAAACACACCCCGCCGACTTTGCTAATGCCAGAAAACCAAGACTCGGCTCCAGACGTACTACTACACACAGCAAACCTGTCAAATATTATAAATAATGTTAATTTGACAAATGAACTTGGTTCCGACCACCTAGCCATAACGTTTGACATTGATATACAACAAACACCATCTATATTAAACACAAAAAGATGCACACAAAAATTTG